GGGGAGGGAGAGACTGGGGAAGACCAGAGACAAGGACACGGGAAGCCATGCTCCGAAGACGGGGCAAGGAGGGGTGGCCAAGACGGTGGTGCCACAGGAGAGTCTCGTGAGACAGGAGGCGACAAGAACAGGGGGCAGACTCAGGACCTGACCGGGACGCAGCAGCAAGCACCTGACCTGACGCAGCTACCTGACCAGACGCAGGGACAGGAGGAGACTCAACGGTCAGGGTGTAGAGACTCGACCCCGGCCGACGCGAGAACGTGGCCAGGTGTCGGCCTGTGCGTGCCTCCGTGCAGTGGGTCACCCGCTGACTCGCAGGAGTGAACTGGTGAACCCCCACATCCTGCAGGTCCGCGCCACTCACCAAGTTCGTAGAGAACGAGGGAAGGTACAGACTAGACAGGGTGCCCGAAGGGGCAGCCGGACACGGGAGGACAGTGGAGAAGTGAGAGAGGACAGGACCCCCAGAGGGGTCAGCCAGGGAGACCGCAACGGGCCGGTCAAGCGGCGTGAGGGTAGTGCGGTCTCGAAAGAAGGAGCGAGAAGCCCCGGAGTCAAGTGTGAAAGTGAGGGAGGACGGAGGCGACGCAGTACCTGAGAGCGCAGTCTCACCAGCACCTGAGAGCACAGACGCACTGGCACCTAGAGCAGCAGCCTCACAAGCACCTAGCGCAGCAGTACCAATGCCTGGGTCAGGCGGGAAACACCGGTAACAGTCACCCTCCTCACTTATAGTCACAGTATACATAGCAGCAAGGATAGCATCAAAATCAAGATCAAAGATCGCTACACCAGCTCTAAGAAGCTCATCCCAGCGAGGGATCTCACTAGCCCCGGGGAACTGCTGACGCCAAGCGTCCGTCAGGCGGCCAAAGCAGCGCTGGGTGGAGTGGGCACCCCCACACTGCTCACCCGCGCGGTCGCCAGAGCGAAGGACGTAGGTACAAGGACCAGTACCCCCACCCCTCTGACGCCGAGTGTACCACTCACGGAGCTGCTGGGGCGGAGGGACGTCACGCGAACGCTGCTGCTGCTGCTGCTGCGAGCGCTGACCACCACCACCGCCGCTCCGCTGCTGGGTACCGCCTCGACCAGCTCCACCTCCTACGCCACCACCGCCTCCTGCGCCACCGCCTCCCCCAGCGTCACCGCCACCACTGCCGCCACCACCACCGCCGCCGCCACCACCGCCGGCCTCCTCCGCCGCTACCACCAGTACCACCACCACCCCCGCCACCACTCCCGCCGCCACCCCCACTCCCTCCGCCGCCTCCACCGCCACCTCCACCGTTCCCTCCAGCTCCACCAGCGCCCTTGCCCCCCTTGCCCTTGCCAGAGCGGCGTCTCCCACTAGGGGTAGACGCCGCGCCAACCGACTCGAGACCAAGCAGGTCGGCAGCAGCAGCAGAGGCAACAGAGGGCAGGAGGGGGGAAGGAGAGCACCCCTCAAAGATGGGGGTGCGAGGGTCACCACGAGAAGCTCCTACAGCGACGATGCTCTTCTCCGCCGCGAGGAGGGCCTTCTCGAGGACGTCGACGGTGAGGGTGGTGGGACAGACTGCGAGAAAGTGGTCCCTGACTACGCGAAGGGAGTCAGGGAGGCGCGCGACTACGTAGTAGAGAGTGATGTACATGGGGGGGGGGTTCTTAGCGCAGAACTTCAGCAGGAAGGGCGGCGCGGTAGCGAGTGTCACTAGTGCGGAGGTGCGTAATGAGGTCAGCAACAGTGGGAAAGGCAGAGAGGTCAGGAAAGAGGTAGGGAAGCATGAGACGGCTCAGTGCAGCAGTGGCAGGGGAGGAGTAGCGCGCAACTACAGCGTCGTACAAGGTCTGAGCACTCTTGTACTGACTAAAGTGCGCGCGCTCAGAGGTAGGGAGGTGGCGACGCACAGCAAGACGTGCAGCAGCATCGCGGGTGGCCCACTGAGAGCGCACAGTGGGATCAGCATCAGCAGCAGGGGCAGGAGAGGCGCCAGAAGTGAGGTCAAAGAGAGAGAGGCCGTCTGCCCTATCGCACTGTAAAAACAACTGCAGGTCGTCTACCCAGACCTCAAAGTCAATGGCGCGACCCTCAGCGTCAAAAGCTAGGACACTAGGGGTAGCCATGACGACGACAGCGAAGCAGTGCAAGCTGTAGGGGAAGAGCACGTAGTGACAGCGGTACTGTGCTCACCGGGCAGGGCAGGTCGGGCAGCTCTGCAGAAGGGCGGCTCGGCGACTCAGCGACTCGGCTACTGGGCGGCTCGGCTCCCGGGCGGCTCGGCGACAGAGCGGCTCGGGTGCAGGGCGGCTCGGGTGCACTGCTGCTCGGTGGTCCTGCGGCTCGGCTGCTGCAGGTGAGTGGCTCGGCTGCTGCAGGTGGGCGGCTCGGCTGCTGCAGTTGGGCGGCTCGGCTGCTGTAGGCGGGTGGCTCGGCTGCCGCAGTTGGGCGGCTCGAGAGGAAGGGGCGGCGGGGCCGGGTTGCAGGGACGGCGAAGGGCCGCAGTAGAGGCGGCCGTAGAGCCGCAGGTAGGAGGCGGCGGGGCCGCGCAAGGGCGGGGTGGCCGCGAGTGACGGCGGCGGGGCCGCGTCGGAACGGGCGGCAGGGCCGCGTCTGAGCAGGCGGCAGGGCCGCGTCGGAGGGGAGGGCGGCGGGGCCGCGGCTCAGCAGGCGGCGGGGCCGCGGCAGAGCAGGCGGCTGGGCTGCGCCTGAGTGGGCGACGGGGCCGTGGCTGAGGAGGCGGCGGGGTCGCGTCAGAGGAGGCGGCGGGGCCGCTTCGTAGCGGGCGGCGGGGCCGCGGCTGAGCAAGCGGCGGGGCCGCGTCCGAGTGGGCGGCGGGGCCGCGTCGAAGCCAGCAGTGGGGCCGCGGCTGAGCAGGCGGCGGGGCCGCGTCTGAGCAGGCTGCGGGGCCGCGTCTAGGCAGGCAGCGGGGCCGCGTCGGAGCGGGCGGCGGGGCCGCGTCTGAAGGGGCGGGCGGGGCCGCGTCCGAAGTGGGCGGCGGGGCCGCGTCTGAAATGGCGGCGGGGCCGCGTTCGAAAGGGGCGGCGGGGCCGCGTCTGAGAGGGCAGCGGGGCCGCGAGGGAAGGGCGACACGGAGGGTCGCTCAAGAGAGAGGAAAAAAAAAGGTTAGCGCGCCTCGGGGCGCGCTTCGGTGGGCCCTAGGCGAAGTTCCCACAGGGAACCCGCTCTATACCATGTGAGAATACTAGAACAGGAATGAAATGACTAAGTGAAAGTTGGGTACAAATACAAACCCTAGAGAGCTGTACCCCATATGTGCTACCCCACTATAGCCTACAACAGCTATGTCATATATATCCGACAGATAGAATCCTTGGCGGAGAGCTACTCATGATGAAAATCGTGATCTTGAAATTGGTGGAGGAAGAATGAAGAGGTTAGTTACTTGATATTCCTTTCAACTTATAAACATTATACGAACAGAAACAGAGTAATGAATACGAATTCATTACTGTAGAGGCTGCTCCTAGCGAGGACAACCCGGAGCATTTCGCGTCAGTTTCGAGGTTCGGCCTACACTTCGGACCGAACCACTCCCGAGTCGCCCCGCACCAATCGCGACACTTCCAACCAATCCACGTCCCGAGGTCCTCGCCTACCACGGTTTTGACCCTATAAATGCATGCCTCTTTATCATTCTCGACATTCTGTATTCGACATCCTTTTTATTAAGTCTTCCGCGCACTCCTCTTAGAACAACTCATAACACTTGTTATCAGAGCCTAAGTTCCTAGGTTCCCCGTTTTTTAGAGTGTATTACCCCTAGGATGTCGGACAGGGAAGGATGTCGTGATGACAGGAGCAGTGCAGTAGCCGGCCAGGAGAACGGGTAGTTGCTCCTAGCGGCCATGTATTTCACTCGCGCTCATGCTGCACCGACGGATCCTTGCCCTCGACGGTCAAGATCGACCGTGGCCTCCCTCCCCCCAGGTGGCAGACAGCTTTTGCTGTCCTCGCTCTTAATTGCGTGCGTTGATTTCGTCGTTTCCGTTAATCTCGGCGCTGTTTTTATGCGGCAGTTGTGTCAGATTTATATGACTTAGCTGCTGTAGGCTATAGTGAGGTAGCACATATGGGGTACAGCTTTCTAGGGTTTGTACTTGTACCCAACTTTCCCTTAGTCTTTTCATTCTCGTTCAATTTCACATGGTACAGAGCAGGTTCCCCTGTGGGAACTGTTCCTAGGGCCCACCAATTTTTTCCTACCCGGAGCGCGCTCAGCCTCTTCCCGAGTCGCGCTCCCCTCTCACGACCCCGTCGCGCCGCCTTAGCGGCCCCGTCGCGTCGCGCCTCCCTAGCGGCCCCGTCGAGTCGCCCGTGCGACCCCGTCGCGCCGCCCTCGCGGCCCCATCACGTCGCACCGCCCTCGCGGCCGCACACGCGGCCCCGTTCCGCCGCCCTCGCAGCCCCGTCGCGTCGCGCCGCCCTTGCGGCCCTTTCGCGCCGCCCTCCCGGCCCTTTCGCGCCGCCATAGCGACCCCTCCACGCCGCCCTCGCGGCGTCAACGCCTACCCTTGCGGCCCCGGCGCCGCTCTTCCAGCCCACCCGCCGCCTCTGCTGGCCCCGTCGCCCCACCCTTGCGACCCCGCGGCCCCACCCATAAGGCGCCAGTCGCCACCCTTCGTGGCCCCGCCGCCGCCCTCAGCGGCCTCGTCGCCGCCCCACCCGGCCCCGCCGCCGTCCCTTCAGCGGCCCTGCCACCCTACGCGGCCCCGCCATCACCACCGAGCCGCCGGCGCCGCTAAGCCGCCCTTGCCGCTGTGCTGCCGAGCCGTCGCTGCTGCCGAGTTGCCCGAGCCACCCGAGCCGCCCGAGCCGCCGAGCCGCTGCTGCTGCCGAGCCACCCGAGCCGCCCGAGCCGCCGAGCCGCCGAGCTGCAGTTGCTGCCGAGCCGCCGAACCACCGAGCCGCCCGAGCCGCCCTGTCCGGTAAGAGCGGCACCTCTACCACTGCGCTGCCCTTAGCCTACTGCTCGTGCTGATAGTCTAATGCTGTCATGGCTACCCCCAGCGTCCTCGCTTTTGACGCTGAGGGTCAGGCCATTGACTTTGACGTCTGGGTAGATGACCTGCAACTTTTCCTACAGTGCGATAGGGCAGACGGTCTCTCCCTCTTTGACCTCACTTCTGGTGCCTCTCCTGCCCCTGCTGCTGATGATGACGCCACTGTTCGCTCACAGTGGGCCACACGCGATGCTGCTGCACGTCTTGCTGTGTGTCGCCACTTGCCTACCTCTGAGCGTACACACTTTAGCCAGTACAAGAGTGCTAGGACCTTGTACGACGCTGTAGTTGCACGCTACTCTTCCCCTACCACTGCTGCACTGAGCCGCCTCATCCTACCGTACCTCTTCGCTGACCTCGCTGCTTTTCCCACAATCGCTGACCTCATTACGCACCTTCGCACTAGTGACATTCGCTACCGCGCTGCCCTTCCCGCTGAGTTCTGCGCCAAGAACCCCCCCCCTATGTACATCACCCTCTACTACATAGTCACCCGGCTCCCTGACACCCTTCGCCCGGTCAGGGACCACTTCCTCTCTGTTTGCCCCACCACCCTCACCGTTGACCTCCTCGAGGAGCGCCTCCTGGCAGCAGAGAAGAGCATAGCTGCTGTAGGAGCCTCTCGTGGTGACCCTCGTGCCCCTATCTTTGAGGGGTGCTCCCCCTCTCCTCTCTTGCCCTCTATTGTCTCTGCTGCTGCGGCCAACCTCGTTGGTCTTGAGTCGGTCGGTGCGGCATCTACCCCTAGCGGGAGACGCCGCACTGGCAAGGGCAAGGGGGCAGGGGCGCTGGAGGAGCTAGCGGGGGCAGTGGAGGCGGCGGTGGAGGCGGCGGAGGGGGTGGGGGTGGCGGTGGGGGTGGTGGCGGGGGTGGGGGCGTCGGTGGCGGCAGTGGAGGCGTACGCGACGGCGGCGGTGGCGGTGGGAGCGGAGGTGGCAGAGGTGGCGGCGATGGAGGTGGCGGCGATGGAGGAGGCAGCAGCGGAGGAGGTGGAGCTGGTCGGGGTGGCGCTGCGCAAAGGGTCGGCTCCAGTGGTGGTCAGCGCCAGCAGCAGCAACAGCAGCAGCAGCGTACTCGTGAAATCCCCCTCCCTCAGCAGCTTCGTGAGTGGTACGCTGCACGCCAGCGTGGTGGGGGTACTGGTCTGTGCACCTACGTCCTACGCTCGGCGACCGCACGGGTGAGCCGTGCGGGGGTGCGCACTCCACCCAGCGCTGCTTTGGCCGCCTCACGGACGCTTGGCGTCACCAGTTTCCTGAGGCCATTGAGATCCCTCGCTGGGGCGAGCTGTCTAGGGCGGGAGTAGCTATCTTTGACCTTGACTTTGATGCTATTCTTGCTGCCATGTATGCTGTGACTATTAGTGATGAGGGTGACTGTTACCGGTGTTTTCTGCCCGACCTGGACATTGGGACTGCTGCTCTAGGTACTGGTGAGGCTGCTGCTCTAGGTGCTAGCGAGGCTGCTGCTCTAGGTGCCAGTGCGTCTGCTTCCTTAGGTGCTTGTGAGTCTGCTCTCTCAAGTACTGCGTCGGCTTCGGCCTCCCACACCTTCACCCTTGACTTGGGGGCTTCTCGCTCCTTCTTTCGAGACTGCACCACACTCACGCCGCTTGGTCGGCCAGTTGCAGTCTCTATGGCAGACCCCTCTGGGGGTCCTGTCCTTGCTCACTTCTCCACTGTCCTCCTGTGTCCGGCGGCCCCCTCTGGCACCCTGTCTGGTCTTTACCTCCCCTCGTTCTCTACAAACTTTGTAAGCGGTGCTGACCTACAGGATGCGAGGGTTCACCAGTTCACTCTTGCGAGTCAGCGGGTGACCCACTGCACGGACACTCGGACGGGCCGACACTTGGCCACGTTTATATGTTGGCCGGGGTCGAGCCTGTACACACTGACCACTGAGTCTCCTCCAGTCACTACGTCTGGTCAGGCAGCTACGTTGAGTCAGGTGTTTGCTGCAGCGTCCAGGTCTGGTCCTGAGTCTGCCCCCTGCTCGTGTCGCCTCCTGTCTCACGAGACTCTCCTCTGGCACCACCACCTTGGTCACCCCTCGCTGCCTCGTCTCCGAGGCATGGCCTCCCGTGTCCTTGTCTCTGGTCTTCCCTGGTCCCTCCCTCCCCTTCCTCCGGGGCCTGCCCCTACCTGCGTCCCCTGTGTCGAGGGGCGGCAGCGTGCTGCCCCTTACTCCTCCCAATTTCCTCCGACAGAGGCCCCGTTGCACACGCTTCACATGGACGTGTGGGGCCCAGTCGGCGTCCGTGGATAGGGCCACGAGCGCTACTTCCTGCAGGTGGTTGACGACTACTCGCGTTACACCGCAGTCTTCCCCTTGCGCAGCAAGGGTGATGTCTCTGAGGTGTTGATCGACTGGATCCGCGCAGCTCGTCTCCAGCTCAGGCAGAGCTTCGGCTCAGACTTTCGTGTTCTGCGTCTGCACTCTGACAGAGGCGGAGAATTCTCCTCTGGCCTTCTGCGAGCCTACTAGTTGTGCACGAGGCATCCGCCAGACCTTCACGCTTCCGGACTCTCCACAGCTAAATGGGATTGCTGAGCGCCGCATTGGCATGGTCATGGATGTCGCTCGTACGTCCATGATGCATGCGGATGCCCCCCATTTTCTGTGGCCGTTTGCGGTCCGGTACGCGGCGCATCAGATCAGCCTTCAGCCCAGGGTCGCCATGCCGGAGACCTCCCTAGCTTTGCTGTGGACGGGGAAGGTTGGCGATGCGTCTGTGTTCCGTGTCTGGGGATCTCGGGCGTTTGTCCGCGACTTGTCTGCGGACAAGCTGTCCCCTCGTGCTACTCCCTGCGTCTTCCTTGGCTTCCCCCCTGACGCACCAGGGTGGCAGTTCTACCATCCCACCTCGCGCCGTGTTCTGTCCTCCCAGGACGTCACGTTTGACGAGTCGGTCCCCTACTACCGTCACTCCCCCCGCCACCGCTGTTCCTTGTGCCAGGTCCCCCCCCGGTAGACCCCCTTCCCCCTCAAGGTCCTGCATCTTCAAGTGTGTCCGAGGTAGACGCACTCGAGCTTGTGGAGGTCGCTCGTGACTCTGGTGCTACTGAGGGTGCTTAGCCTGAGGGTGCTACGACTGGGGGTGCTGAGCCTGGGGATGCTAAGTCTGGGGGTGCTGAGCCTGGGGGTGCTACGACTGGGGGTGCTGAGCCTGGGGGTGCTACGCTTGGAGGTGCTGAGCCTGGGGGTGCGGAGCCTGAGGGAGCTGGGCCTGCTCGTGTGGCGTCTGGCGATGCTGGGCCTGGAGGTTCTCTGAGCGCTCCGTCTCGACGGGAGCCACTCTCTCCACAGGAGGTGCGTGAGTGGTTTGCCCGGCGCAGGAGGCGTGATTCTGGAGCTGGAGGTTCTTCGGGTGCTAAGGGTGCTGGTGCCACGGGTCCCGGGGGTGTTCGTACTGGGAGTACTGGAGCTGCTGGGCTAGCAGGTACTACTGGAGCTAGAGCCACTGCGTCTTCTCGTTGTCCGACTGGAGCTGGAGCTGCTGAGGGTGTTGGCGCTGGCGGTACTGGAGGCGGTCCTGCTGGGGGTACGATTGGTGCTGCTGGAGGTCCTAGGAGCTACTCGAGCTCTGGGAGTACTGGAGCTGGAGGTGCTGCTGGCGCTGGTGCTACCGCTGGGGGTGCTGGAGCTGTCTCTGCTGTGTCTGGAGTTGCTGCGTGGCCTCGCCCGTACTTCGTTCCGCTCCTTGAGCAGGTTCTTGGTCTCCCGCCTTCTACTGGTCCTCCTCCTCCCTTAGAGTGTCCACAGCCTGTCCCGTCACATTTATAGTTACAGCCGGCCTCCCCACTGCCTGCTCCTTCTCCTTATACTAGTCCTACTGGAGGTCTTGCTGAGCGTCGTGAGCCTGCGTCTCGTCCTGCGTCGCCTGTTCGTGCTGCTCGCGCTAGTGGTCGTGGTTCGCGTCCGCGTCCTCCCCATGTGCCCGGCACGCACCGGATGTCTCTCCGTCCGTCCACTGCTCCTCTGCGTGCCCCTTTGCCTTCTCTCCCTGACTCCTCTCTTCCTGCCCTTGCTGACCCAGAGTCGGACTCCCTTCGTGTTGCCAGTCCGACTGTCACGCGTCTCCTTGCTACTGTTGTCACTGACCCTTCCTTTGAGTCCACTGCTGCGTCTGCCCTAATTGCTGAGCTCGTCGACTTTGTTGCTCGCTGTCATCTATACTACGCTGCTAGTCTTGTTGCTGCGTCTGAGACTATCTGTCCTTCGTCCGTTGGGGGTGAGTGTGCCCTTGGCACGGACGTCCATTGAGGAAAGGCAGGGGGAGTTCCAGTGTTTGGCTACTGCTTCACCTCATCTCGTGTCCGTACTACTTACCCCTGAGGGAGACCCGGATGCACTTGACATCACGACTCCGCGCTCTTACGCGGAGGCGATAGAGGGTCCCTACTCCTCTCAGTGGCAGGCAGCTATGGACGCAGAGATGGCTTCCTGGATGTCCATAGGCACCTACGTTGACGAGGCTCCCGCGCCTCGGGCGAACATCGTCAGTGGCATGTGGATTTTCAGGGTGAAGCGGCCGCCGGGTTCTCCGCCTGTCTTCAAGGCGCGTTGCGTGGCTCGAGGCTTCAGTCAACGGCAGGGAGTTGAATACTTTCAGACCTTCTCTCCCACCCCGAAGATGACCACTCTTCGGGTACTGCTGCACATAGCTGCTCACCGTGACTAGGAGCTACACTCTCTTGACTTCAGCACTGCTTTCTTGCAGGGCAGCCTGCACGAGGAGATCTGGCTGCGCCGCCCACGTGGCTTCACTGGGACTTTTCCTCCTGGCACCCAGTGGAGCCTCCGGCGGCCAGTCTACGGTCTCCGCCAGGCACCGCGTGAGTGGCACGACACACTGAGGACTACACTTGCGGCTCTTGGGAGTGCTCCCTCTACTGCCGACCCGTCGCTGTTTCTAAGCACCGACACTTCTACGCCGCCGTTCTACATCCTCGTGTACGTCGACGACTTGGTATTTGCCATAGCTGACACAGCTGGACTCACCCACGTGAAGTCTGAGCTGCAAAAGAGACACACGTGCACAGACCTGGGTGAACTGCGCAGCTACCTTGGCTTGCAGATCACCCGGGACAGAGCACGCCGCACCATTACCCTGACTCAGTCACACATGGTGCAGCAGGTCCTTCAGCGCTTCGACTTCACGTACTCCTCGCCTCAGGCCACTCCTCTGCCTACTCGCCACTCGCTCTCAGCTCTGCCTTCGGATGAGTCCGTAAAGCCGAGTGGCCCATACCCAGAGCTTGTTGGCTGCCTCATGTACCTAATCACCTGCACACGACCTGACCTTGCATACCCTCTTAGCATTCTCGCACGCTATGTTGCTCCTGGGAGACACAGACCAGAGCACATGGCTGCAGCGAAGAGGGTGTTGCGCTACTTGTGCAGTACGTCGGGCATGGGGCTTGTGCTTGGAGGGCAGAGTCCAGTGGTCCTCACAGGGCACGCAGACGCTTCTTGGGCTGACGACCAGGCTACGCAGCGGTCGTCACAGGGTTACACCTTCAGCCTTGGTTCCGGCTCTGTTTCGTGGCGGGCTACCCGCTCGTCTTCTATTCTCGGCTCCAGTTGTGAGGCTGAGATCTACGCAGGGGCCATGGCTGCACAGGAGCTTTGCTGGCTCACCTACCTGCTGACTGACCTCGGAGAGCCGCCTCGTTCTCCTCTAGTGCTGTACGTAGACAACAAGGCCATGCTGGCCTTGTGTCGGGAGCAGAGACTGGAGCACAGAACGAAGCACATTTCTCCTTCGCTACTTCCTTGCTCGTGAGCTACAGTAGCGTGGTCAGCTGCGCCTTGCGTACGTGGCCTCTGAGGCCAACACTGCTGATATCTTCACCAAGGCACTTGCGCCTTGTGATCATCAGCGCTTCTGTACTCATCTCGGTCTTATGCCTACCTTGCCTCACTTGCTCAGCCCTTGACCTTGTTTGTACTGTTACATATACATTTACACCTGCTCTTGCTTGTTTAGCCTTATATATATATGTAATCCTGCATGTGAACTGGCCTTGTGGTCTTGAACTTGTGCTCGAAATGTGTGGTGAAGTTGTGATCCACCCTGAGCTTGCTTTGCTTTGCTTGACTGGTCTTGTGACCCCTTGTCCTCCCCCACTTTGCCTATGGGGGTGTGTCAGATTTATCTGACTTAGGTGTTGTAGGCTATAGTGGGGTAGCACATATGGGGTACAGCTTTCTAGGGTTTGTACTTGTACCCAACTTTCCCTTAGTCTTTTCATTCTCGTTCAATTTTACAAGTTGGCGTAAGGAAGATTGTCGTCACTGCATGCGCGAGATTCTTGGAGCAGTAGTCGTGCGAGTTGAAGTTTTCACGTGGTTGTGAGGATCTAGGATCGAGCTCAGAAAAGAGAATATGAATTGAATCACCTGGGTACAACACGAGGCTATATATAGGCTCGACACAAGGCCCCGTAACCAGGTGTTACGCAAAGGTTCCGCGGGCCGCGTAGCGTCTCGAACAGATCCTTACCGAATTCGGTAGAAGGCAATTCGGTGGCAACCGAAAAGCCAGAATTCGGTGCACGCAACCTAGCTCGGTGCTATAACTATAATAAAATATAGGAAAGCACCTAGCCTAGGAAATCAAGCAATTCATGCATGCATATAATTATCCTATGCTAGAAATAGCATAATAAAGTAAAGGCAAGCTAGCATAGCTGGCATAAGCCGTCGTACTCTCAGACGTCCCCCCCTCAAAGCTTGGTGGTGTGAGATACACACTGCTTGACAAGATATTCCTTGAGAGCACGGCGTGCGTTGCCCATATCAGCTTCTGCAACCCAACTGTCCTCAGTGGGGTCGTATCCCTTCCAGCGTATAAGGAACTCGAGGGTCCTGCCGCCACGGCGCCGATGAGAGAGAACGCGCTCAATCTCGTACTCGGGTTCATCCTGCACAAGAATAGGTGGAGGTGGCGGTAGCTACCGTCCCTGGAACTGGTGGTTGGGGTCCTTGTAGGGTTTCAGTAGCTGGATATGGAAAGCGTTCTGAAGCTTCCATGTGTCTGGTAAGCGCAAGCGGAATGTAACTGGTGTCACCTGTGCCTCCACGAGAAACGGACCACAGAAGCGAGGCCGGAGTTTGGATGGGAGGTGAGACAGGTTCAAGTTGCGTGTGTCAAGAAGCACCTGATCTCCGACTGCTACTGAGTGATCTCGTCGCTGACGATCGGCATACTGCTTCTGGGAGTTCTGCATCGTGGTGAGACGTCGCTGAGTCTTCTTCCATAGCTGCTGCATGGTGGTGACGAAGTCATGTGCGGCTTGGACGTGTGACGGTGTGGTTGGCTGCTGTGGTGTGAGTGGTTCCCGTCCGTAACACAGGAAGAAAGGAGTTTTCCTTGTGGCCGCATGTGAGGCGTTGTTGTAAGCGAACTCTAGGGTCGGTAACTGTGTGTCCCAGTGGCTGACGTCGTCCTTGCAAGCTGTGCAGCGGTAACTGTTCAACCACTTGATTGAGGCGCTCTGTCTGTCCGTCAGTCTGTGGGTGGTATGCTGAGGACATCGCAAGTTTGGTCCCCAATAATCCCATGAGCTCCTTCCAGAACTTACTCGTGAATTTGAGGTCTTTGTCTGAGATGAGTGTAGCGGGGAAGCCGTGAATGGTGATGATGCGGTCGAAGAAGAGGCGAGCAGTTGCTTCAGCTGTTGCCGTGGCGCTGGTTGGTATGAAGTGACCCATTTTGGAGAACTTATCGATTACTACGAGGATGGAATCGTGCCCCCGTGAGGTCGAAGGAAGTCCTGTGATAAAGTCGAGGCTAACGACCTGCCATGGCTGCTCCGGTACGGGTAGAGGCTGAAGTAACCCTGCTTTTTTCTGCTTGCTGCTCTTCATCCGCTGGCACGTGTCGCATGAGGTGACGAAGTGCCTGCACGTCTGCTGCCATCTCGGGCCAGTAGTAATACTTTGCTATCCCTGCTAATGTCTTGTTGC